ATGAGTAGCAGCTACATCTTCAACCTATGCATCAGCATTACTATCACGAGTAGGAGCTACATCTTCAAACTCTGTAGTATCCTCAAAGTGATCTTGGGAAGCCGCTCTCTATCTCCTCGTTGGGGCTGTGGGACACTATCTATCAGGTCGAGATCATGAAGCCTCAGTAGTACCTCTGCGAGTCCTCTTCATATCTAAAAAACAATATCAAGTACAAACTCAGTAACAGATTCGGTAGATGATCACTGAAAAACGAAAATAAATTCGGTGGACAATCACTGAAAAACGAAAGCATATTCGGTGGAGTACCAATGAAAAACGAAAATACATTCGGTCAATAGCTACTAAAAAACAAAATCAAATTCGGTGGACTGCCACTGAAACAAGGTAACGATTTCTGTGGTAACCCATCAAAAGTAAAATTAATTTTCGTACAGACCAGGTTCAATTTTGATGGACTACCACTTAAACAATGTAACTAATTCGGCGGTAACCCACCGAAAGTAAAATCCAATTTCGTAAAATCAGGTTCGAACCATACACCCACAAAGTTGAAATAAAAAATTAAAATCAAACTTTGGCTTTTCAAAAGTGAAATCAAACCTAGGCTTAATCAACACTTAGAATCTTAAATATAAAAAACAAACCTTGGCTTTTAGAAGGATTTTGAGGTTAGATGGGATTGTGAAAACTTGACAGATCGTCTATGGCGGTTTGTGATGGTTGAGGTGATGGTGGTTTGCTACGGGGTGAGGCGTTTGGGGTTGGCAGTGGGTGTGCGATGGGGTTGGGGTTTGTTGCGATGGCTCTGTTTCAAATTGGATGGGGTGTGCGATGAAGTTTGTTGAAATCTGACGGGGTGTGTCTGCAAGAGGAGGGAATTTTCGATGGAATGAGGCTTGATATGGGATGGGGTGGGGTGTGTTGAAAGAGAAGGGGGTTTTCGATGGGTGGTGTATGATATGTGATGGGGTTTACATAATAAGCTAGGGAATGGGGTTCATGAGGGCAATTGAGGAAGAAAAATGGGGTATAGTAAGTAATTTTAAATTTCATTAAAATTCAGCATAGTCTAAAATATCGATAATATCGACGAAATATCGAGGATATTATCGTTTTTTCGAATCACGGATATTTCAAAACGTATTCATGCACATATCATATAAATATCGAGAATATTGACGATAATATCAGAAAATATCGACGTCGATAATTTCGCTCACACTTTAGCAATATTTTGTTACAATATCGCTATAATATCGCTAAAATATCGAAAATATCAATGTAATGAAAAAAAAAGGGAAAAAAAAAAGGAAGAAAAAAGGGAAAAAACACAAAGGGGATTCAAGGTGTTTCCTCTTGTAAAATTAGTCATCCTTGGTTTGCTTTGTATTGTGGCGTCCAAGTGGTAAGTTCTTTTTCTTTTGAATATTGAGACATGGACATGCAAGGAATCATGGACCTTACATTTCTTACTTTGACAAAGTTCACACATTTATATCATTTGATAACTACTCTTCACAATACACTTATTACTCTACACATAGAGATGATGAAGATAGTGAAAAATTTGAACCTCATAGGAACTCTATGTGGTACTAAGTCACTTATGTATCTTACTATACAATGTATAAAATGTAAAATATTGTAGTAAATCATTATATATAAATGATTGTGATGTGTTTAATCTTCTTTCATTAATTACTACATATTTTCTACACTTACAGTGTTTGTCAGCTCGCTATATAATCAACTTAAATTAGTTAAATCCATCATGCAATACATTTCCTTCCAATTTTTTGTGATAAACTAATAGATAATTGACTAAATAAGCATCCTCCAAAGTTTCAAAAAAAAAAAATCCAAGTTTTTCTTACAATTTCCGTGGTTTTTATTCAATTTTTATCGATATCGATAATATCCGGATATTTCCATAGAAATTTTCGTGTTTTTGGCTATCGATATTTCCGATATCACCGATATTTTAGACCTTGAAATTCAGTGGGGTGTAAAGAAAATACAAATTTATAAATAAATCCAATCCTAGATATATATTTATAAAAAAACCCAAACACTATTTAAACATAGAAACACACCCAAAATCAACAATTGTATATTTTTTGGGTGTGTTTATCAATGGATTTTGAGTGTGTGTAATGATGGATTTTGGGTGTGTTTATAAAGTGTTTTGAGTGTTGAGTTTTTTTATAATTTCAACTCCCATTTTAGGTGTTTTAGTGAAATGTGGGGTGAAAGGCAAATAATGGGTTCATATAGAATTACCCTAAAGCAGAACACTCGAGGCGTTCCAATTTGCAAAGTTCTCACCTTTCCACTTCCGACGCTAAACACTGAGAAGGAAACATAAATCCTCCTTCTCACTCCGACAGTGACGCAAAACGTGGTGAGCATTCTCTCCGACTCTTTCTCCAACTTTTTATTTTGTTAATTCGTTCCATTTACGTTGGAGATGATTTGATAATTTTTTTCAGAACTAAGTTAGGCTGTGCGAGCCAATACTTATCGCAGACCCATTTGGAACAAGTTGCGTACAAATCAGAATTTTGGTCAAATTGTTGCAAGTTGTGTCGATTGTCCAGTTGGGTTTGTTGGATATCTTGTGGTCGAACTAGGAGATCCATAAATTAATAGTCAGTGTTCAAATAAATGCTCAGTATCCTTGCTGAATTTGAGGAATGTTGTAGTTGTTTACAGGAACCGGTGTTTCAATTGGTTTCACTCCTACATATATGATTTCATTGCCACTATATCATTCCTCTATTTGCGTGAAAATCACAGAGTTGTTCCCATTTGGTGGACTAATGACGGTGCCGGCACCAGAGGTTAGAGTTGAAACTGATACTCTGGGAGGATCATTAAAAACCAGAAAGTGAGATTGGATAAGAGAATGGACATTTAAGATTCTATCGTATGGTTACTGTATTGGATACAGTTGAAGGGTAAGGAATAACAATAACATCTAGAATGAGGACTACAGTTTTTGCCAATGCTAAACGAATGCTGCAATAAGATTCTAGAAATTGATAATGACCTAGATGATATGTTAAGTCTTTTGCATTAGTAACTTTTTCGTTGGTTTATTTTGTCAATGGTTAGGTAGTATTGTTACTATTCTTCATTTTTATTTTTATTTTGGGTTGAAATCTTAACAAGATTTATACAATTTAGCCAACTTCTTGAAATTTGTTTCTTATCAGGGTTTTACACATTGTGGTATATGGGGACTCCAGAAGCAGAGTATGCTGCATTTGGGGAGAAGGTCAAACGAACTGTTTACCTAGATAACATCTCACCACAGGTCACCGATATTGTTGTCAGAACTGCTCTTTCTCAGTTTGGGATTGTGAAAAATGTTCAGTTCATTCCAGACTACTTCAAATCAAGGAACATCGGACAGTGTGCACTGGTGGAGATGGAGAACCCTAAACAGGCTGATGCTATTGTCTCAGAGATAGCTCAATTCCCATTCATGATGGCGGGGATGCCAAGGCCTGTGAGGGCGTGTCCTGCTAAAGTGGAGATGTTTGATGATCGCCCTGCAAAGCCTGGAAGAAATATATCTTGTTGTTGGTTGGAGCCAAATGATCCTGATTTTGAAGTGGCACAAAAACTGAAGCGTCTTACTAAAAAGCATGCTGCTGAAGCGTCATCTTTGCTCAAGCAACAACTCCAGGAAGAAGAGAATCTTGCGAAGCAGCAGAATGAGGCTCTTAAAGCAAATCATAAGAAGTATGAAATGATAGATAGTGTGATAGCTGATGGAACTGCTCGTCATTTGGCAAAACGTTATAAAATGAGAATTGCAGATGACTGATAGGTTTTTTGTTGAGGTTCTCCCTCAAGAAAGTTTAGTAAATTTGTAAAAAATGCAATCGTTAGTACATGATGGTTGCTTCTAGTAAAGGACCTCATTTGCTTGGAAAAAGAGTTCAGTTTGGGAGTATCCTGTTGTTCTTTTGATGAATCATGATATATGCTGTTGCTTTTTTTTTTTCTTTCTTTAATATATGCTGTTGCTTTTTTTTTTTTTCTTTCTTTAATATATATATTTTTTATATTTTATAAATATGATAATGGAAAATGATAAGGATGAGTTGTGCACTAATAGCATCTGCCTAGGTTCTATTTCCTAACCCAGAGCTGTCAAGTTGTTTACCAAGGAGATCTTTAAACTCGATTTTGCAATGATTTCTTGTCTGTTTCTTTCCCTGGGTTTAGCTTACATTGGACTTACAATTTGTTGCTTGGAATAAGAATAAAGCCAAGGCCGGTATCAGATTTATGATGCAGATTATTGGCAATTACCTTATTAGGTTCGTTGCTCTTAGTATTCAGCAGATAAATATCTAGAGGCTTCACCAAAACAGAAAGCCTGGCTTAATTTCAAAGCCATGCTTATTTGGGTTGAACACAAGTGTTGGAGAAACATTTTCTATGTGCTTCGATATTGGACTCATTTTCGGTGTGAAACCAAGCATTTCAGCCGATGTTTATGAGTAAACAGATTTAGGCCTAAGATGTGTTGGCAGGGTGATCCAATACTTATCCATGCTCAAATTTAAACACACAAAAATTGCTAAAATTAAATGTACAAAGAACAAAATCCAGACTCAAGCTTCAGGGATGAAAACTGAAATTTGGCCTTTCTAATATCTAATGAACCTACCTTAAAACTTCATACAAAAATGTTGAGTATGATCAGAAAAGAGAGAGAGAGAGAGAGAGAGAATGACATTCAATTGGCATTCATGGGTTGTCATTGTAATTGAAACTTTACAGTAATCTTGAAAGAATTGTGTTTAGTTGGCCTCAAAAGAATGGTACACTAATTATGTTAAGCCAGGAATTGGAGGTACAGCCCTTGTACAGGATTCAAGAGTTCTTGAACAAACTACATTTCAATATCATCTCATCTGTGCGGCAGCGCTGGAAACGGCAGAGTTGATCATCATCCTTCGCCTTTCTTTCCTTTCAAGCACACGTAAATGTGGCAACTTTGCTTTTGTTGGTTCCTTTGGACACCTAGATAATGAAACAAACCAATATCAATCAAGACAACAAAAATGCAGCAATCTTTATAGAAGCAATGAGCAATATTTATTCTTAAGCTTGCATTTTTGTTATTTCCTTACTTCTGGGGGCAGAATGGATGCTCAAAATTAGGCACTGGCCTTGCATGGGGTACCAGAGTCCTTCGTAGTTGCTTCAATGCCTTCTCTTCCTCCACCTGCAAATGTTTCAAGTATATTTCAATTAAATCAAGCAAGCTAGTAGTATCAAACAACTATACAAACAGAAACACGCATACCATCCTTGCTGCATCACTCTCTTCTCTGTATCTCTTGTATATCATTTCTTTCTCCCTAACCTGTAGATCTTAACTTTGTTAGTACTGGAAAACAATGTTCCTTTCCCTTTATTTTTTAGTTTCAGTGACTTTCCTTTCCCTTTATTTTTTAGTTTCAGTGACTTTCCTTTCCCCTTTATATGTTACTGAAGGAGAGAGTAACAATGTTACCTTTTGATCAAATTCTGCTCTACCAACAGCCCGATGATCAACATGGAGATTGAATTGTTGAACTTGGGTAAGAGGCTTGCGCACTTTTTCTGGAACAGGAATTGGGTCCCTGCATGAAAGTGGGATATGAATCATTCATGTTTTTATGAATTACACCCTTGTGCCAAGTCTATATAAATTCAAAAAATTCAAAAAATAGAATTTAGTTTGCTTACTCTTTCAAGATTGGTTGTGCCTTAAAAAGTCTTATCTGGGCTGCTTCTTTCTCCAGCCTTTGTCTTTCTTCCATATCCCTCTGCAATTCCTCCTCATGCCTCACCAAACTCTCTAGTTGGAAAGGTTCTGGTTTTGTGCATTGCTTGGGCTCTGGTTTTGGTGGGATCTGCATTTAAGACAGCATGAACCACTGTATCATCTTTCTTGCAATTGCATGTAATTAAAACTCATAAAAAATATTATTAAGTTTCTGTACCACAGGGTAATCAGTGGTATAAGGATATGGATTAGCTTTGGGAACCCTAGCTCTTTCTTCTTCCAATTGCTTCTGCCACACTTCGGTAATAAATTTCCTTTCTTTCTCAGCCCCTCTTTCCTGATGACATAAAGACATAACAAGTAAGCAGGTTAAAAGCAGATTGCATCACTGAATTGGCTAACTTGTAAAATTGGAGGAAAGGATTGTCATACCTCTGTGTGGAGATGGAATGGGTTTGGTGTCGTGTTTCTAGGGATTGGATTCTGGTTGTGCTCTGAGTTCAAAGACAACTGAAAAACAAAAAGAAAGATGCATAAGAAGCTGTACTCATACTTTCATACTTTTTTTTCTTTTGTAGCAAGTTCAAAAACATTCATTCCACTACCTTATCAAATATATCAAAAATGAAAGAAGGTGGCGGTGGTATTCTTTCATTTGTTGCAAAATGGAATTCCTGAGGTTTAGTCACATTTTTCTTGGCATTACAGAATACCCCCAGATCTCCTTTACTTTCAAATATCTACAAACATTTTGCAGAAGGAACATTAGATATCAATTCCAAATGTTTCTAAGATGAATATCATTAAAAGGAAATGAAAAGGTTGGAAGTACCTTCTTGTTTAGAGGCTTCGCCTTGAATTTTGGGATTCTTTCAAGTTCTTCCTGCTCAATTTCAAACGAACTTTTCACCCTGGGTGGACGGGCCCTCAATGATGTATGTAGCACAGGAGTTTTAGGTTCAGTAAGATGATGAGACTTCCCTTGATTATTCTATGATGCAATGGAGAAAAAAAGAACATTGTCACCTCAATTGGCTTAGCAAGAACGAAGAGTGGAAATATCAAATATGGTTCTATTTATACCTGACGGGACACCTCCGTTGAAGCTACTGAAGCCGTTTCTGCATTCTGGTTTGCCCTTGCCATTGTCTCCAAATGGAATTCCTGCATCAATTAGATATAAGAGTCTTATTATTCACAGAAAATCTTGTATTTACTTCTGAGCAACATCCAGTCTACAATAACTTTACCTGAAATTCCGGTGGCTGAGGTGTACTTCTCGGTATTGCAGGTAATGATGGGGCTTCTAGAATCTGTAATGAGCAACAAGATCCAATGAATCCAACAAATATAGGCTGGAAATCAAATGAGGAATAAAAAAATTGTGAAACAAATTACAAAGTTACCTTTTTGTTTAGTGGTCGAGCCTTAAACTTTGGAATTTTGGCCATCATCTCTTCTTCAAGCTCAGTAGTACTCTTTACTCTCACTGATCGAACACGCTGGGATGTTTCAAATTCAGGCTCCTTAGGCCTAGTCAAGGTGAGTTTGGGCTTCATCTGAATAACAGAAACAATATTAACCTCAATATTAAATATGTTGACAAAATAAAACCAAAGAAAACATGAAAAAGAACTCAAAGAAATCATAGATGGAGATAAGTATCTTTACTTGTGAAAGAGAACCAACATGCTGCATTGACAAGTCTCTGGTACTTGATTGGAACCTTTTTATCATTTCGGCCATTGAAACAAATGGTGCTGCAGATTCCCGAACATACACCTTTCTGTCCTCTTTTTGCATAGTAGCAGTTGAAGAGCTTAAATTGAAACTGCCACTGGTATGACCCAATTTTGACTTGTGGGGCAACGTTTGGGGTTTGGGATTAAGAATCTGTATTTTGAGGAGGGGACAAAAAGAAAACCAATTAAGGAAATGTCTAGAAATAACAGTCAAGTTAATACAGAAGTAAAAGTTACCTGTCTAGATCTTCCTCCGTCCAACTTCTGTCGCTTAATTGCCTGATTTTCCTGTGCTAAATTGGGAGTCCCAGTTGCATTTTTCACATTTTTTTCTCTGGAAGTTCAGGTAAAGTATGAAATCAGTACATTGGCATGTATGAATAAATTAACACATATATCATGATATACACGAACCTTTTCACACTATTTGGTTTGATGGTTTTAGTTTGTGACGACTGTAAGTGACTTTTTTGCTTCAGTGCTGATGGGTTTCTGACAATGCTTGCTATCTTTTTAGCTGTCTGGTCCTCCCCTTTATCAACTTCGCTAATACTCTTATCAGCAGAGACCTAAAGGGATTATATTATGATTAGATGCGAAAAAGCAATCAATTATGGCTTTTCAGAGGAGTAGAAGTTCAAATTACTATTGGATTGACTTACATTGCTTTCGTCTTTAGCTTCCCTGGGGATTATATCAACTTTGACTTCGGCAGGTATGAGCTCCGATTGAGGCTTAGTTTCCACAGACTTATCATTAGCTTTTAATTCAGAGGATGATTCCAAGTTCTGCAAAAGATAAAAGCGCAATAAGCTAGAAGTCCAAGTTTTAAAGGATATATAGAAGGAAAAAATTAGAAGATGAATACCTTCTGCATTTCCTCTGCTTCACTAAAATCGCACATGCTCTCAACCGTAAAAGATCTACCAGCCTTGATCCTAGGCATGAAGGCTGCACAAATGAACGAGTACCAATATAATCAGAACCTTTACATTCTTCTTATGCACCAAAAGAAACAAGAAAATAGGTCATGCTTGCAAACATAATTCACTTTCACTGAGAGATGTAGATGCATAGATTAAAGCATAGACAATATGACAGTTCCATGCTCCTTCAAAAGAAAATTCCAGTTAAGTTATACTCAAAAAATACGTAAATTGTGAACCTAATTTGGCAAGTTTGGGAAAGAAATGAAGGAAATCCCAAAAGTTTATATCTTAAAATTCTTTTAACAGCTTCACTAGGAATATTATCCTGATAAAAAAAAAAACTCTCTCACTCAATTTGATCAACTGTAGTTAGAATTTTCTGGAAGCATAACCTCTGTTTAATTTCTGAGAGTACTAACAGAAGAAAGTAAAAAAACAAAAGATCTTTCTCTTAACAATGTGGAGCACCTTATTGAGTGTAATTTTGCATTTAGACAAACGAAATCACTACAAAAAATAATGAAGAAATCGAATTTTATTTTCTAGGGAAACAAACTCAACTGAGCAAGATCGCTTCCCTATCGATTTTAAGAAACGCTAGGAACGGGAGCAAAATTGACCGCCAAAAAGAAAATTCAATCACAAAATCCCAAGAGAATTACAGATAGCAACGGAAATCAGAGAAGAAAATCAAGAACCCTAAAATCCAAAGCAAACGCAATGCAAGAAAGACAGATCTGAGAGAAACCCTAACAAAGAAGAAGCAATACATCACAGATTCTAACATATGAAAGCAGAAAAAGGCAAAAGACATGGAAATTGAAGAAATCTCATAAAAAAGAAAGGAGACAGAAGAAGAGAATATTAGGGATCAGGGAAGACGTACGAGAAGGCGCCTGGCGCTTGTCGTCATCGCTCTCGTCCCTTATGAAGTCGTAGAAGCGCGGGGCGGAGAACTCGTAGGTCTCGTCAATCATCTTCGTCGTCATCGTCGCCGTGGCGGTGGCTGCGGCCGCGGCCGCTGCGTTGGGTTCGAGATCGGGCATTTGGGGGATTAATTGTTGTTTGGGGTTTAGGGATTTAGAAGAGGAGGATGAAGAATTAGAGAGAGAGAGATTTGGGGGATTAATGAAGAAATGAATTATGAATAAATGAGAGAGAGCCTGGAGAGAATGTCTCTGAGTGGTGTGGCGTGGAGGAGGAGTATAACGTTAGGGGAAGGGGTCTCTCCAACGGTCTAATTTTTTGAATTGGGGGCCATCGGCTGTGCTGTTTCTAACGGCTCTTTTTTTTTTTTTCTTCTTGCCTTTTAGGGACGGGACGCTGTCGTTTTGGCCGCGGGTTACAAATTGCCTTTTGCATTTCTTTTCTCTTCATTTTCCTTAATGTTGTGCGACCATAAGTCACCATGCCAGGTGTCTCCACTTATTCATTAAAGGGGTAATTACAATTTTGGTCAATCGGGTTAGGGTTGAATTTAATTTTGGTCATCGAAATTTTAATTTCTCGATTTTAGTCACTATATTTGCATTTGTTAGCAATATGCTTCAATTCCATCAATTTCATTAATTAAAAAATATATTTTAAATATTAAATTAAAAAATATATTTTAAATATTAAATTAAAGATAAATAATTTCATCAATTTTATTAATTAAAAAAATTAAATATTAAATTAAAAATAATTAACTTCAATATAATATTTCTATTTAAAATAAGTCCTTAATTCTAAATCGCAACCAGTTGTTTGTTCACAAATTTCTTTCAAAATTAACCTTATGCTTCTCAATTACAACCATTGTTTTCTCAATCCAAAATTTAGAATACAATTGATGAATTGAGTTGGTGGCAACAATAGTTGGGTGGGCAATTCGGTCTAAAAGGTAGTGGGCGTAAACCATGGAGGTAAGAGCATTTCCAGCAATTTAGGCTGGAGAGGGGAGGGGGGGGCGGAGAGGGATGTTGAGGGCCCCAAAACTGTTTCCAGCAGCAAAGGCTGGCCCGGGCAGGAGGTGGGGGCCACGAGACTAGGTTGGCCTGAGGGGGAGCCGAGCTCGAGTTTTGGGATGACGTCAATGCGCGACATCAGCAAATGCGCACGCTACAGTGCGCCAACGGCTAGCAGTCACATAGCGCCGTTTGGGCTCTCCAATCGGATTTTTTCTTCCAATCTAATAGCAGCGAATTCTTGTGCAATAAAATAATTAAAAAAATTTGAATTTTTTGTTTTTTAAATACCCAAAAATTAATGCTTTTTTTAAAAAATTATATATAAGTACCAACCAATACTCTTCACTTTTAACACCAAATTCTCATATATTTTCTTCTCCTTCAACTATTATTCACTTTCTACTTAATATTTTTTTCACTTTCAAGTTTTATTTTTCTCTATCATATTATCGCTTCTTCTATCGAAGCTGGAGGGGCATGAAGCATCATGGAAGATGTTTTGTTGTGTGAGTTTTGGGTCCAAATTAGTCATTGTCTCGTCTTGGGTAATGCGATGAAATTCTGTCATATGTGGAGAAAAATTCATACCGAATTTTGTGACAGATCAGGTTCGACCCGTATGGAAACGGCATTGTCTAGTAGGTGGAAAATTCTCAATAAAGAGCTGGGGAAATGGAGAGATGCCTTGTCAAAAGCGATGGACAACCATAGAAGCGGTGGAAATCTTAGCAATTAGGTAAATTATTTGTAATTCGTTTTATTAATTTTAATGTTCTATTAATTTTTTTAAAAAATATTTCTTGCAATTTCTATATTTTGTTAATATTTCTTGCATTTCCAATGTTTATTTAAATGTTTTTTGCATTTCCAATATTTGTTAATATGTCTTGATTTTCCACTAATTTTTTAATATTTATTGCGTTTCCATTATTTTGTTTATATTTGTTGCATTGCCAATATTTTTTTAAGTTTCTTGCATTTCCAATATATAGTTTTTTATATAGATTATGCAAGCACAAATGTGGTATGATGCTACTAGGCAAGGCAAAAAAACTTTCAACCATGAACAATGTTGAGAGGTGGTGAAGAATTGTAAGAGATTCCGAATTATTCCAATGGATCCGACCGTGGTGTTGAACGAGATGCCACTCCATGATTCACTGGCATCGGATTAGCCTATGGATTCCTCAATGAATCAAGACTCACTCATCCAAAGGGAGTTGAGGCCTATTGAGAGGAAGGCGGCGAAGGCAAAGAGAGGGAGTAATTCTACCAATAATACATCTAAAGTTTTGGAGGAAATTGCAAGACAAAGCGCCATGAGAATTGAAATAGACATGAAAACCGAAGAAGATGAGAAGACATTTAAAGTAGAATATGCAAATGAGAGGGAGTATGTACCTAAAGAAAACATTGAAAAGAAGGATTGGGAAACCATGACTATGGATACAAGTCATATGTCTCCTGCAACAAAACAATTTTGCAAGCTAGAACGAAGGGATGTTATAAAACGAAGACTTTTTTGTGACGATGGACCTAGCAACACGGATTGGTTAAATGATCAAAACCATTAAGTTAGTTTACTTGCCTTTTTATTTCATTGTATTTTAATGTTTTGTTTTAAAAATTAGTTGTAATTCATGTATTTTATTTCATTAGTAGTATTGGTTTTCTTTGAGTGAATAAAGAAAGCATTTAATAAAATACATTTTTATTCAAAACATTACTTACATAAAAAACAAACCATAACCAAAGCAATAAAAAATAAAAATAAATAAAACAAACAAACCACAACCAAAGCATAAAAAATAAACAAACCACAAACAAAGTATTAGTTTGCTTGACGTCGTTCATGAATATAAGACGATTGCATCTCTGTATATCGATCAATCATACGGGTCATGAAACAACCGTCCCTAACCAATGGTTCATGCTACACTGGTTCTCCATTTGGCCCCATGGGTTTTTCATAAATTCTTGTCAATGTCGTGTTCATGGGATTCGTTTCGTACACGTCTACAACATCGTAATCATACTCATCCTCCACAATCATGTTATGGAGGATGATGCATGTCATCATTATACTCTTCAGCACCTCCTCATCAAATAGACGAGCCGCATCCCTAATAATAGCCCACCGGACTTGGAGGATACCAAAGCACCTCTCCACATCTTTTCTATAACCCTCTTGATAGACAACAAATAATTTTTACTTCTAGGATGGGGGATGCGGAATTGATTTCACAAAGGTGGTCCACCTCAGGTAGATGCTGTCAAGTAGATAATACCCATTCTGGTATACAGTATTGTTGATTTCATAGGTGATATTTGGGGCTCCACCTCTCAAAACATCGTTGAACACCGGGGATTGACGCAACACGTTCAAGTCATTTTGAGATCCGGTAACTCAGAAGAAGGCATGCCAAACCCATGTATCGAATCCATCAACGGCTTCAAGGATGATATTTTTTTGCCCTTTCTTATTTTCATAATCTCCTTACTAAGCGTTGGACAATTCTTCCATTACCAGTGCATGCAGTCGATGCCACCAATCATTCCTGGAAATCCTCGAGCTTCGGGTTTTTGTAGCAGCCGTTGCAGGTCCTTGGGCGTAGGTCTACACAGGTAGTCCCTGGTGTACAAAGTTTCGACTATATCACAAAATCTTACCAAGCTCTCCAAAGTAGTGGACTTCCCCATCTGGGCAACCTCATCCACTTGATCAGCAGATGAACCATACGTTAACATTCGTATAACAGATGTAAACTTTTGCTCAGGAAGAAGTCCCAAAACCCCATCAACATTTTTCTTTTGAACAAAGTATTCATCATAATTGCAAATATCATGCATGACTTTATTGAACAAATGGGGTTACATTCTATAGTATGCTCGAAAATGAACATCATAGTACAGAGAAGTTAGGGTAAAATAATCTTTCAGAAAATTCTTACCTTGAAAATGCCTATGTCTGTCCACATTCGAGCCACGGCCGACTTGTGAACCACGACGGCTCTAGTTTTCTTCATCAAGCAAAGCCACTGTTATGACAATTTGTTGATCTAGTTCT